TGATAGAAAGAAATGAAAATCACTAGCGGACGAATCAGGTGAGCCCGTGCGATCATGCTTTTTTGCAATATTTCGTGCTGCAGTAGGAACGCTTGGAGTCCCAGTAGCTATGATTTGTGGTATACAGGTCCTCGAAATCCAGAAAGTTAATTTTGCAACTATGTGGTACCTGGTCAAGGAATATCCCCTCAGAATTTCAGATTTCTAGCTTTCTTGGTCCCCAAGTTAGCATTTTTCCACTAAAAATTCTCGAAGGGCTATATATGAAAGCTACATACACCTAGGGGTTGAATTTGAAATCTTTGAGTTATGCGTGAGCTGGGAACATCCCCTTAAAATTTCAGCCTCCCAGCTTCCTTGGCTCTCAAGTTAGCGATTTTCCAGCCAATAAATTTTCATGAGATTGTACGTAAGAACTACGCACTCTTGCGGCCTCGACTCGGAATGTTCAAGTTAGACGTGGGCAGGATAAATCCCCTTAAAATTTCAGCCTCCCAGCTTTCTTGATTCGCGAGCTAGCGGTTTTCCCCCAAAAAACGCTCACAGGGCCGTACGTGAGAACCACGCCCAAACTGGGGCTGAACTTGAAATCTTTAAGTTGCACGTGGGCTAGGGACACCCTTTCAAATTTCAGCCCCTCAGTTTCCCTGGTTTCCCAGCCACCCAGGCGTGCGTCAAGCCTGGTGCCGGGGCGGCAATTGGCATGGGGACCCAATGAAAAAATTTTAGCGCCGAGTTGCCGAGCTAAAATACCCGTGCAGGCACACGCACACACAAACACACAACGCACGCACACCATGGGTCGTCACAACACGTTTTTGCATTTGCATGTATAAATAAGTAGCGATCCGCGCCTGACTAGCCGGTGCGATCATGCCTTTTGTGCAATTCCGCCCACGAACGATTGCCTGTTTAATGATTTTCACTGCTTTGTACTTTAGTCTATGCAGAAATAGTTGGAACGTTGAAAAATAGTTAAAAATTTCACGCGCCGGCGCATGAAAGCTGAATCTGAAAACTTGAAGGGTGAATTTCCTTTCGTGATTCTCGAAATAATAGTTTATCCGCCAAAATTTTCATAAGGCCGTAAGTGATACCTGAGAGCGCGGAACGCTGAATTTGAATTTGTAAGGTGGCACGTGGGCAAGGGGTGATTGCACTAAAATTTCGGCTTCGTAAATTTTATAGTTTCCGAGATAATAATTTATCCGCAAAAATTTTCACGGGGGCGTAGGTGATACCCAAGAGTGCGGGAACGCTGAACTTGAATTTGCAAGATCGTCCGTGGGCAGGAGGTCACAGCCCTAAAATTTTAGCTTCCTGGACTCCGTGGTTCACGAGATGATAATTTGCCCGTCAAAACGGGGCCGTACATGTTACCCGCGAGCAAGGGAAAGCTGAATCTAAATTTTCTGGGTAGCACATGGGCTGTTACAAAGCACAAAACGCATAAAAAGTGCATATTAGAAAAGCCGAATTTGAAAATCAAATTCTAAATGTGATTTTGTGCGGTCAAAAATGTGCAAAGCCAGTTTAAATTGTATTTTGCTAAACAATCAGTGATGTCCAGTATCTGGATTTGGGATCTGCCATTCCTTCCGAAAACTAAAAAGAAAAAGTGAAAATTTATTTCAAGCTAAACGATGACTAATAGTCGAAAAAAAGTGTTAATGTCTGAGATAACTTTTTGCAAAAAGAATTTTGCTTGGTTGTTAAAGGTCTCCCTGCGTATGTTAACAATAAGGGGATGCAAAACATACAGCCTGGGTGTGAAAGTTTAAGGCAGCAATGCGATAAACCCATGCTGAAATTTGATCAGAAATTAGCTAACGAAAGAAAAGCCCACCCAATAAATTAGATTTTAGTGCTTTTAGCAAGACTTTTCCAACTTTCTGCAAGAAATCCTGATTCTGGCAAATGTTCAGTGTTTCTCTGTTGCATTTTCAGCCATCTCCAGAATCTTCGTACACAATCGCTCAGCAAGTCCTTCGAATGTTTTTTTTTCTACGTTGTTTTGACACATCATGGAGTACTTAGAAAAGTCAGTGAAGCCCCAGTTTTTATATTAGCTTTAATTTTTTGGGATAATGAATTATGGAGAACAAATGAAGTTTCGCATCTGCTGGATTACAGTAATAATTTTTAGCCCCAGTGACGAGGAAATGGGGTTTTTTTGCTACTGCCTTGAATTTAGAGACGCTTTATCCAAGTTATACAAAAAAGATATCTGAGACACTCTGCGCATATTAGTTTCTATTGAAAATAATTATTACAGTCGGCCAAAAAGTAGGAAAACAAGAAAGTTGAGAATTAGCTCTGCAGCACATAGCCGAAACGATTGCTAGGATGCTAAGAAAGTGAAGGAAAATAGAGCGTGGGAAGAACAAAGTCGAGAAAAACAGAATTTTTTCTTTGCTTCGGAAATGAACGATCGAAAATGTAAGAATTCGCGAAAGTGCATGTTCGGACTGAACATCTGCTCCCAACTAGCAGTCACTGTGGATAACGGCAAACTTTTAGTTGGATTTATTTCTTGAAATTCTTCTTCATTGTTAATAATCTTCAAAATTATCAGGATCATAATCACTGAAATTATAGGAGGAGCTGCTAGTGTCAAGTTCCAGTACTACTCAAATTTGCCCATATCCCTCTCGTAGCTTGTTTTTCCAAACTTTGTCAGCAGTCAGACCTATGCTTGAAACGGCTACTACTCGACGCCTTGCTAAGTTTACTTCTTCGAGGTTAATTCCCTAGAGCCTCGTAATCATATTATGAATTTTGCTCGAAATGTGAATTATGTTACTGCAAAAAAATTAACGGTTGAACCATAGTTCATGGTTATTCAACAAATCAAACTTAAAAACTGCTTTAACAAAATGTTATCCACTGAACAGGCCATAAAAGTTTTCTAAGATTCAAGATATAAGGCTAGCCTGCTTCAGGCCCCTCCTGTTTGGTATTCAAAAATATTGGTGACATATACAAAACAATGTAAAATCTCCTAATTTTTCCAAATTAAAGGATTTTATTTTATATATATATCACCAATATTTTTACTGGGGTATAATAAGTGCTGAAAAAATCAGCATTTTTGCGAAAATGTGTAAAACATCAAGTCTCTTCGGATGTACCTGATTACAATAATCTTCGATCAAAAATTCAACGAAAAGCAAACCTTGACAATACTCCTGAGATGGCTGAAGTCGTTGTCATCGAAGTCGCTCTCACGATTATCATTTCGACTGATCTGATTCCTCTCACGTTGGTACATCGTCTGGAAAAGTTATCCAGAAATGATTCATAAAAGTGAATTTTGTTCTATCGATAAAGAAATTCATTCTTCCTACTTTTTGAACTGGAGATTTGTTGCTCGGAAAAGTACCATTCGTGCAGAATCAATATAAAGATTTGGAGAAATCAATTTTTTAGATAAGCTCTGAGCTAAATTATCACAATAACTTCTGCAAACAGATTAGAAACGCACTCGAACAAGTGGAAAAATACATAGCAAGATGGATGGGCGAATCTGACTAAAATGATTGTGAAATTTTTACCTCATGCAGAGGTGTTCTGGTGCGAGATCGTCGTGGATAAGGACTTGATGGAGGGCTGCGTGAGCGCGCTCGAGGAGGAGGCGTAGGAGGCTTATGCCTTACAGCATCTGCCGGTCTGAAATACTTGGATTTTTTAACAATTTTTTATTATTAGCTCCCAAAAAAAGCACACCGAATTTATTTGATGGTACTTTTCAACTGGCAGTGTTCTTGTTTTCATCAAGTCTGCATATGGGGTTGAATTTTTAAAAAAAGTGTGAGCAATTAACGGAATAGCAAAGTTTCACTGGGAAAACAAAAACTTACTTTGGTGGTACCACCCTGCGAACAGCGTACGGTAATTCTTCTGGCGCCTTATTATTATCCGCGTAAGGTGTCCGGACATTTTGCAGCCGTTCTTCCTCCATTTGATATTCGGTCAGTGGATCACTGCGTTGTCCATAGCCCTCTACGCTGTACGTACGCTCATCACGACCACGTGCCGACTGCCTGTCGTGACTCACGTGCTTCAGTTCCTGCAGTTCAGCAAAAAACTTTCAGAATAAATACAGGCTTTAAATTTTATGCTCACGAATCTGCGGCATCAAGTTTTGTTTGCTTAAAACATTTTTGACAAAGCAAGAAAATGCTTCCAAGTGACAGAAAATCCAGATTCTCATGGGACTTATATTTCGTCATCAACACTTTTTTTTAAACTAAAACACCAATGGCAGAAGATGCAGCACAGCGAACGAAACATGTTCCTCGTTCCATGGATAAACAGTGGTCATTACGCGCCAGTAATTGATAATTGTAAAAAAAAGACACTGCCGCATCTAGTCAGGGAAATGAACTGCTTATCAAGTGTTGAGATAAATGGCCTAGCTACTACAACTGCGTTTCCACCTAGCCCAATTGCCTATTTCTTATTCTATTTTAGTAGAAACAGAAACCTCGAGCAGCAGTTTTTCTTGGCGCTTTCGCCTCAGCACTTCCGGATTATTCTCTCTCTTCGCTTTCAGCTTTCTCAGTTGAAACTTCAGCCAGTCATCCGCATTCTCAGCATCCGTCAGCGAATCGTAGCGATCATGCGCAAACAAACGACTCCCTTGTGACTCCCTACAATCAACTGGATAAAGCAATAGAAACTTTTTCGTGCACGAAGCACCTTCAATCAATGAACAAAAAATACACGTCAAACCTATTAGTAATACTTCAATGACAAAAAAATGTTGCGGAATAAAATCGAAAAGTAAACGTTGCGGAATAGTTGGTTTGAATAATTTTAATTGAACATAAAAACACGAATTCTATGGCATTCCCGACGGGTGATTTTTGCACCTGCTACCTCCAGAATATTTCAGAGCATCTCCGCTTCTCCGAATGAATGAATATGGAAGGGATTTTGATAGGCATGATTTAGTATGTTTAAACCTGGATCAATTTTTCGCTTTATTTATGTCTGAGGAAAAGTGTAATGTACTAGCATGAAATTTTCTGGCATAACAAGCAGAATGTTCGGTCCAAAGGAATATGAAATCAATATATCATATCAAAATCAACCCTATTTTGATGTTGCGCCGTTGTGGCTGAATTTGGCATTTTAAACGAATTTCAAAAGTTTCAACCTTTTGTATTTTTACTAATTCATTTCCATTCAGTAAATGCAGTTTTTGATAGGCTGGTGAGATAAAAGCACAAAATTACTATGCATTTACCTGTAGCAAGGTGCTGAGGTGGCAGAGCGACAATTACGCATGCGGAACGCTTCTCGATCTTGGTGGATATTGCTGAGCGAGGTTGCTGGCTTTGGTGACGAGAAATAGACGTCGAGAGTTGCCTGGTCCCTCAAAATTTTTTAATTCTAATCTTGCAAACTATCATTTAAAACAAAGAATGGTTTATGATCAACAAAGTAGCAAGTGCAATTGTTAGGTAAATATAATTTAATT